AGAGCATACCATATTGCCACCATGCATTGGAGTTCTTAATTATATCTGACAATTTTGTTTAGGAAGAGATACTGTTTTTTTTAATTCCTGTTTATTTATTTAATCTGAGCATTGGTACATTTCTCTGATGACAGTAAAAATTCTCTGTGCCTTTTGTTTGGCAATAGCTTGTTTATTAGCCACACATATGGCCAGAATGGAATAACAAAATTTGGCTCCCATGGACTTCAATAGGCTTCACAGGAAAGCTTGCTGAAAATTGAACCTGGACAGATTCACTTAACCCCAATAATTAACAAAAAAATGACATCTTTAAAAACTGATGCAACCTATATCTAACAGAATTGAATTTACTTTGCTAAATCACTGTGTACCATACACAATTGCCATGTTTTTTTTAACATAAATGTTTTTACCGTATTAATTCTTTGTTGCATCTCTTCTTGCATATATGTTGCCACTTGCTGTCTTCATACATGCAGTCCAGAGCTGTATGGCATTTCTCATGGCAGGCTTTCTGATGGTGACAACAGTGGACCAAGCCTGTGCAATGTGTGCTGAAACAGACACTTGTCCATTGTAATAGTGTGACAACACAGGAGATGGCAAATGAGAAGCAGGTACAGAGCATTGTTACCCTATATCATGAATGGCTTGAACAAAAGCCTTCATGGCAGAATATCAGGTTTTACTTATGAATAGAGATGAGCGAATTATTCAAAAATTTGAATCGGCTGATTCGCCGAATTTGCGGGAGAAATTCGATTTGATGCGAATTTATTCGCTGCGAATTTAACTTATTAAAAGGGTTTCTAGGCTTCAGAGAGCCTTTATATTAGTGCAGAACACTGTACCTTTAATTTAAATGCCCTTGGAGTCTGCTGGGGAAGAGAAATAATACTGTCAGTCAGTATGACATGCAGATGAGTGCCGTCGATCTTAGAATCACCGCACACTTCACTCATTTGGGCAGTCACGGGGCATGACGAAGAAGAAGAAGAAGAAGAAGAAGAAGAATGAAAAGAAGAATGAAAAGAAGAAGAATGAAAAGAAGAAGAAGAAGAATGAAAAGAAGAATGAAAAGAAGAAGAAGAAGAAAGAATGAAAAGAAAAGAAGAAGAATGAAAAGAAGAATGAGAAGAATGAAAAGAAGAAGGAGAAGAATGAAAAGAAGAAGAAGAAGAAGAATGAAAAGAAGAAGAAGAAGAAGAATGAAAAGAAGAATGAGAAGAAGAATGAAAAGAAGAATGAAAAGAAGAATGAGAAGAATGAAAAGAAGAATGAAAAGAAGAAGAATGAAAAGAAGAAGAAGAAGAAGAAGAAGAAGAAGAAGAATGAAAAGAAGAAGAAGAAGAATGAAAAGAAGAATGAGAAGAAGAATGAAAAGAAGAATGAAAAGAAGAATGAGAAGAATGAAAAGAAGAATGAAAAGAAGAAGAAGAAGAATGAAAAGAAGAAGAAGAAGAATGAAAAGAAGAATGAAAAGAAGAAGAAGAAGAATGAAAAGAAGAAGAAGAAGAAGAATGAAAAGAAGAATGAGAAGAAGAATGAAAAGAAGAATGAAAAGAAGAATGAAAAGAAGAAGAAGAAGAATGAAAAGAAGAAGAAGAAGAATGAAAAGAAGAATGAGAAGAATGAAAAGAAGAAGAAGAATGAAAAGAAGAATGAAAAGAAGAAGAATGAAAAGAAGAATGAAAAGAAGAAGAAGAAGAATGAAAAGAAGAAGAAGAAGAATGAAAAGAAGAATGAAAAGAAGAAGAAGAATGAAAAGAAGAAGAAGAAGAATGAAAAGAAGAAGAAGAAGAATGAAAAGAAGAATGAGAAGAAGGAAAAGAAGAAGAAGAAGAATGAAAAGAAGAATGAAAAGAAGAAGAAGAAGAATGAAAAGAAGAATGAAAAGAAGAAGAAGAAGAATGAAAAGAAGGAGAAGAAGAAATGAAAAGAAGAATGAAAAGAAGAAGAAGAATGAAAAGAAGAATGAAAAGAAGAAGAAGAATGAAAAGAAGAATGAAAAGAAGAAGAAGAAGAATGAAAAGAAGAATGAAAAGAAGAAGAAGAAGAATGAAAAGAAGAATGAAAAGAAGAAGAAGAATGAAAAGAAGAAGAAGAAGAATGAAAAGAAGAATGAAAAGAAGAAGAAGAAGAATGAAAAGAAGAATGAAAAGAAGAAGAAGAAGAATGAAAAGAAGAAGAAGAAGAATGAAAAGAAGAAGAAGAAGAAGAAGAATGAAAAGAAGAATGAGAAGAAGAATGAAAAGAAGAATGAAAAGAAGAATGAGAAGAATGAAAAGAAGAATGAAAAGAAGAAGAATGAAAAGAAGAAGAAGAAGAATGAAAAGAAGAATGAAAAGAAGAAGAAGAAGAAGAATGAAAAGAAGAAGAATGAAAAGAAGAAGAAGAAGAAGAATGAAAAGAAGAAGAAGAAGAATGAAAAGAAGAAGAATTCCAGTACAGCAAAAAGTGTATCTGCAGAGAGCTCCGCTATTTCTGACAGTTCTCTGACAGTTCCTTCACATTTACAGCGGTTGAAACATTGTATCTATTTGTTTCCGAATAAAAACATCTGTATCCTAAATGGAAACAAATAGATACAATGTTTCAACCGCTGTAAATGTGAAGGAACTGTCAGAGAACTGTCAGAAATAGCGGAGCTCTCTGCAGTGACACTTTTTGCCGGCTGATCGGGGAAAATTCCATTCGTGCATCCGAAGTTTGCTAAAATTCGGATTCGGTGCGAATCGAATTTTTCCTAATATTCGAAACGAATTCCACTTCGCCAAGTTCGATTCGCTCATCTCTACTTATGAAATAGAATTAAAATGTAAATGTTTTTTGTGATTGGGTTTACTTATACTTTTAGTATGATAAAATTATACATAAAAAAATACATATAAAGATGTCTTATATTTAACAACCAAAGTCTGGTTGGAACATATAGCCAAGTCTGACTACTACCATGAATACATAGATGAATATTTCATACCTAAACTCTGCTTTCAGATTAAACATTGTCTGAAAAGCACTCACTCCTAGATCATGCAAAACATGGAAAGAGCACTTGGCATAAATGGAATAAATGTAGAAAATAGCCCGCACTTAGTCTTTGTAATTTGAATTTTAAATGTTTTTAGACAACCATTTAGATCATCATCTGTAAGCAATTTTTGCTTCCATCTTTTAGCATCTGCCATGAAAGCAAGTGCACTGAGTAAAATTCACATCTTCCAGGAAGAAAACAGGCAACCTGCTGTGATATTCTAAATGGTAAGAATGAAAATAATCCTGAGCTTTTATTACAGGTAAAGTACAAGAAGCAACTTCAGACCGAGCATGTGATAAAAATCAGGGCAAGAGGGAAATGGGTTAGTGGACATTTAGTAAAGCAGTCATTGAAAGTGACACCTTCTGTAACCTACAAACAATGACAAATTAGTATAATAAATCAACAGGGAGAGGCAATATATGAGAACACAATAAATGTGATAAAGGGAATGATAAAGAAAATCCCACATCACAAACAAAAGCTTCAGTGTTTTCAGACTCTGATGGCTGTCCGAGTCTTTGGCTGTAGAATTTTCCTAGAGGGACATTTATTCCATAGATGGACATTTAATTTGAAGTTGCAAGCTAACTGGATCACAACATTTCCTAAACGCATTGTCAATCTCACACCAGCAGCGAACAAACCAAGGGCATTTGAAGCTGTCTCTGAGTAAGAAAGCCTGAAACTACATTAGGAACATTCATTAAAAAATGTAGCTGAAGCTATAGTAGAAAAGTGGCCATCCAAAGCTAAACTCCCAAAAGTGATGTCACCTTTTGAAGAATAGCTTCACAGTTTATGCAAAATAGCACAGGGAAGAGGAGAGTGCCTGGCCAGTGTACAACATTTCCAATGAATTGGGGACGTAAGAAGACAAATGTAGATAAAATAAGAGGAAGCCAAATGAAGCTGGGAAACATGCAGCAATGTACTGTATTATAAAAATTCTGCCCAAACAACAGCTTTAAGGTGTATGTTACCTCAACATTTCATATGTCTGTTATCTGTCCATGTACTTGTACTAAAAATGATCATGTTATCTTTACATTGCTGCCTTTGTGTGAAATACCTGGAGAATCTGCCAGTTCTCCTGCTATACTATTTCAAACTGATTATGCCAGGGCATGGAAGCACATCCAACCCAGTTGATCAGTTTTCTTCTTTGCATTCTACTTGGGTGCACAGCCTGGCTGTGCTCCAATAGTCAAACTTGTACTGACAGCCCCCCCCCCCCCTCCACACACACACACACACAGCTCATAACTGGAAAGCTCAGTATACTGCTTTGTATCTGCCTCCTGCAGGCACACACCCTGCCCAGCTCATCACAGAGTATTTTTGTCTCTGTATTTTATACTGGACTGTGTTTTTGTTCCATGCATATTCTATCCAACATTAAAGCGGAGTTCCACTCACCCTATCAAAAAATAAAAGTCAGCAGCTACAAAAACTGTAGCTGATGACTTTAACCTCTAGCCTACTGGGCACTTATACCCCCTTCCTACCCAGGCCAATTTCCAGCTTTCAGCACTGTCGCACTTTGAAGGACAATTGCGCGGTCATGCTACACTGTACCCATATGACATTTTTTTTTGAGACAGATAGAGCTATCTTTTGGTGGTATTTAATCACCTCTGGGATTTTTACTTTTTCTTAAACCAAAAATTACTGAAAATTTTAAAAAAAAAAAAGTTTTTTCTTAGTTTTTGTAAAAAAATGTTGTAAATAAGTGATTTTTCTCCTTCACTGATGTGCGCTAATGAGGCTGCAGTGATGGGCACTGATAGGCTGCACTGATGGGCACTGATGAGGAGGCACTGGTAGGTGGCACTGATGGGCATTGACAGGCATCACTGAGGGGCACTGAAAGGCAGCACTGATACATGGCACTGATATGGCACTGTTAGGCGGCACTGACTGGTACGGTTAGGTGGCACTGACTTGCATTGTTAGGTGGCATTGATGCACACTGATAGGTGGCACTGACTGGCACTGATAGGCAGCACTGGTTGTCAGCACTGATAGGTGGCACTGACTGGCACTGATGGATTACACTGTAAGGCAGCTCAGATGGGCACTGATATGTGGCATTTATGTGCACTGGTATGCACTGATATGTGGCATTGATGTGGCACTGATAGGCACTGGCACTGATCGGCACTGACAGCTGGCACTGATGGACTTTGACAGGTGGCACTGCTGGGGCTACACTGATCATCAGGGCACACTGATCATCAGTGCCCTGATGATCAGTGTACATGTCCCCTCCATGGAAAGCCGATTACCGGCTCTCCTCTCCTCTCGAGCTGTCAGCGTGACAGCTCGAGAAGAGAGAAATGCCGATAACCGGCATTTCCGTGTTTACATGTGATCAGCTGTGATTGGACACAGCTGATCACATGACCGAGACAACATCTTCGGTTCTTTCCATGATCGGTGATCCTCTGTGTCCGGGGGACACAGCGCACCGCCGATCGCCGTGCGCTACCTGAGCCACGCATGCGCAGTGAGAATGAGAGGACGTCATATGACGTCCTCTCAAAATGAGAGAACCAGCTTGCGCCTGTCATTGGACTATATGGCGGGCAGGAGGTGGTTAAAAAACAGCCACTTACCTGTCCCTCGGTCCCGTGATGTATCCCCCGCAGCTCGTTTCACCGGCTGTCCTGTATTCCAGGAGGCCGGCATCTTCAGTGTGGGCACCCGGCTGTGATAGCTTGTGACCATTCACGAAGCACCCACTGTGCATGCGCGAGTAGCGTTGTGCTTCGTGAATGGTTCTGTAGTCTTCTGGGACCTGTCACGTGTCCCAAAAGACTACAGGGAGGGAAGGAGGACACCTGTCAAATTCGGGTGCCCGCTCCCCAAAGGTGCCAATCCTTAATCCCTCATACAGATGAGAAAACAGAGGTCATGTGATCACTAAGAAAAAAAGAAAAAAAAGGTTTTATAATTTTTTTTATATTTACACACACCTTTGTTTTGCCTTGCATTTCTATTTTAAAATTAATGGTTTGTTTTACAATATAAGCGTTCACATATACATTAGGAAGAACATTTTCTATACCTTTGCTGCTATGTAACATCTGGTAAGCAGAATGTGTCAAACACATTTCAAGTTACATTCGACCTTGATCTGGGTATATACTGTAAGCCATACACAGCCCTTTCAATGGGCTCAGTAGAGAGCAGACTTGTTAAAGTATCACACATTGTGCCTTATACATATATAAAATACCTGCTCAAAGGATAATCCCATCCAAATGGTAATTTTCCATCCCAGAGCTATATAATGATTAGTTGGTGTTGAAATCTTTGTGGAAAATAACAAGCATGATACTGACTGATGGAAATCTATGCCATTTTGAAAGCACATAGACATTTGCTGTCAAGGAGACCAGCCCTTAACCCCTTAACCCTTAGCAGCTCATCTTACCCCAGCTGTCAGTCTGTAAGTAATGTGTATGGACTACCCCTGACACATCAGCACAACCCACCAGTTCATACATTTTGTGGGGAGGCAGAAGTCTGTGCACACTCACTACTTTGTAAGATCTGTGAACTAAAATCAGCGAGAGGACTAAAAACTGCACCTGTTTTGGAAAATATGGATGTTTCTTCACAAAATATATTACTGTTTTATGGAGAATAGCTGACAATCTCTTTTTTCCAGCCCAGTGAATTAACAGACACACCTTACTTAGGAAAATACAGCTTGTTTCATAAAAAGGCAGAGCTATTTTTGCTAAAGGCTAAATGCTTATTTAGGAGCAAACCGAGGTCTCATACCTAGCACATGATTGGATGACTGAATTAAATAATGCTCCCCCCTATTCACTAAGCTATACTGTGCATTTTTTAGTTGTTTGGAACCATTTGATGAGGCAACAAATCTCAGAATTGTGCCATGGAGATTTCCAACATTAATGGCCAGTATAGTATTACCGTATTACCTTCTCTGTCTCCTCGTCCTCAAACGCCTACCCCTCCAAATGTCACACTATTACCAGCCGAAACCTCCGCAACCTGAACCCTGCCCCCCTCCACTCTGCAGCTGATCAACTTTATGACAGCATCCTTCCCCTGTCCTGCCCCGACCTGGCCACAACTGCCTATAACAACTCGCTGTCAACCTCTCTAGACTCTCTAGTGCCTTTAACCACACAAAACATCAGACCCCGACCGCTTCAGCCCTGGCAAACTGATCACACCAAAACTCTCAAACGACGCAGTCGTGCACTGGAGCGACTATGGCGCAAAACCAGATCCCAACTAGCGTTCACCCGTTATAAATCTGCCTTCCACACCTACACCTCCTCCCTCCACGCTGCCAAATAAGTCTACTTTCTGACCCTCATCAATACCCTCTCCTCCAATCCTCGCCGGCTCTTCTCTACCTTCAACTCTCTACTCTCTCTGCCCCCACCTCCACCCAGTACCTCACTTACCGCCCTCGAGATTGCCAATCGCTTCAAAAACAAGATTGACACAATTCACAGGGACATCGCCACTGCCCAGACTTCCACCCCACCTATCTCCTCTCACACAGCAACCCCCTCCACACCTCTCTCCCTTGGCCTCACCACTGTTCAGACCTCCACCCCACCTAACATCCCTCACACTGAAGCACCCTCAACACTCCACTCCTTCGACCTTACTACCACTGAGGAGGTCACTAAGGTCTTCTCTGAAGCCCGCCTCACCACCTGTCCCCTCGACCCTGTCCCCTCACAACTCCAATGATCTCCTTCCTCCTCCATCCTACGCTCCCTCACCCACATCTTTAACCTCTCCCTCTCTTCTGGCGCATTCCTCTCCCCTCTGAAGCACGCGCACATCACTCCCATACTTAAAAAGCCCTACCTGGACCCCACCAACCCGAACAACGTTAGACCCATCTCCCTGCTGCCATTCACATCAAAACTGCTTGAGAGCTTAGTCTATTATTTGCCTAAGCTCCCACCTCAACGACAACAACCTCCTCAACCCCCTACAGTCCGGCTTCCGTCCCCTACACTCCACAGAAACTGCCTTACTCAAACTCAGCAATGACCTGCTAACTGCCAAAGCTAATGGCCACTATTCAGTGCTCCTACTCCTCGACCTCTCCGTGGCTTTCGACACAGTTGACCACCCCCTCCTCCTCAAAAAACTACACTCCCTTGGCCTAAGAGACTCCGCTCTCTCCTGGCTCTCATCCTACCTATCACAACGCTCCTTCAGCGTTACCTATAACGCTACCACCTCCCCCTCACTCCCCCTCTCTGTCAGGGTCCCTCAAGGCTCTGCAACTCCCTCCTCACTGGCCTGCCTCACCACAGGCTATCCCCGCTTCAGTCGATCCTGAATACGGCAGCCAGACTCATCCACCTTACCAACCGCTCCGTTTCCACCCCCCCCCCCCCCCCCTCCCCTCTGCCAATCCCTCCACTGGCTTCCGATTGCCCAATGGATCAAATTCAAAATGCTAACACTGAGGTTCAAACTGTCCATAATTCTGCCCCAAACTACATCATCGACCTAATATCCGAATACCACCCAAAACGCACTCTCCACTCCTCACAAGGCCTCCTTCTCTCAAGTTCCCTGTTCTCCTCCCATGCCCACCTCCAGGAATTCTCCAGGGCATCACCAATCCTGTGGAACTCCCTACCCCAATCCATCAGACTAATCACCTACTCTCCTCTCCTTTAGGCGCACCCTGAAAACCCACCTCTTCAGGGAAGCCTACCCCACCCTCTGCTAATTGCCAATCTCCTCCACTCTTCCTACCACTCCATCCCCCACAGCTTTTCCTCCCATACCACTATGCCCTCCCTCCTAGATTGTAAGCTCCAAGGAGCAGGGCCCTCTAACCCCTCGTGTATCGCACTGTATTGTTATTGTACGGTCTCATGTATTGTCTCCCATTGTAATGTACAGTGCTGAGCAAACTGTTGGCGCTATATAAATACTGTATAATAATAATATGTTAGTCTCTAATTCCAGCTTTCAAAATGAAATATCAAGATTATTAAGGCTAGGGGATAAAATAACTATAATGTAAGAAACCCAAATGTATAAAGTTCAGAAACCCATGTTCCCACTCTTTCCCGCAATCCCCACCTCAATAAACACCCAAAATGCATTTTTTTAAAATTGTATTATTAATTTCTTACATCTGTGGCCAGAAAAGGGAATTTTTATTTCCTGGGATGTCATCACATTTTTACAAGCCAGGGATATCTGGCTGTCTGGAGGAGGGTCCTTTGAGGAGCTTATCTCACCCACTATAGGTATGTAAGGACAAGGGTTATCCACACACCAGATCCAACCACTGTAGGTACTGTTGACGTAAGGACATATATAGGACACACTACTATATGCAAGAAGAGGGAGCACTGGTGGCCAATTACTGGAAACCGCTGTTCTGAAGTTTTGGCTGAAAATTTTTAAGGAGGCAGTACACAGAATATGCTTAGCAAAAAAATATATGCATTAAGAGTCTTTATAGTTAGCACTTAGAAAATGTATACTAAAGCTAATTATACAAAATATTGATGTAATTGCATCTAAATGAGTCAATTTAGATTGTCCTTTTTATAAACAATATTTAGTTTGTCATATGGTATATAAATGGCATTCTAGTTTACATTAGATGCAACAATTTACTGTTTACAACCATCTTACAGTGCATTTCCTAAGCTTATCACTCAAAAAAGCTCTAAGAATTTCATGAATCACTTCACTTTTTAAGGACCACAATGTGTTCAACAATATAATTTCAATAGCAAACATATCTCTGTAATATACAAAAAAGAAATACATCAATAACATCAAAACTCCAGAGCAACAATAGTTCATCATTAACAATGGTCTAATAACATACAGTATATCCATCACCTCTTAATACTGTATCCACCCCCGTTGGTGCCAGGTCTACACACTGCTTCAATCTTAGATCCCAATGCCAAAGAGGACCAAGATTATTGAGTCTAAGATATAAATTATGAGTAAAATATACATGCTGGAGGAAGAAGGGGTGGAGGTGTTGTGAACATTCTTACCACTATCACTGTCCAAAATGGCATCACATCATGGGCCACCAATTGTTTGCTAGTCTTGTGTTCCACATGATCTCCTCTAGCATCCCCAACTAATAAATAATAATTTTAGGTGGGTGCTTATCCTTAATCAATAATATCCAAAATGGACAATATTTAAGACCAAAGGGAAACTGCAAAAGAGAAAGGGATTTTGAGGAGGAGGCGAACACACTGCAGACTCTCTTATTACAGCAAGGATGCAGTAGGAAATTATTAAAGCAAGCTTGTCAGAATAAAAACAATAACTTGTTAAAGATAGAGAAAACAAATAAAGAAGTAACCAACATGTGGGCTCTAAGATAATTTAACAACCTGGCCTTGGAGGTAGGTTGTTAAATTGGGATAGTTTAAAAAAACACTCTTGAATTGGTATCTTAGTGAAT